TGTTGTTGTTATGTGCTGTAGTGCTGTGGAGTCGATTCTAACTCATAAATACCCTATACAGGCTGTAAATCTTTACGGGAACAGCTGGTAGTTTCGAACTGCTGAACTTGTGGTTCACAACCTGATTTGTAACCACTACACTACCAGAGCTCCATATATATTTACACATATACACGAGGGTGAATCAAAATTATCCACATTCTGATTATAATAAAGTGACCATCCATGTCCATGACTGATGACAACTGATGAGCATGCACATGAAATGATTCAGTCGAATAGACAAGTGATAGTGGATCATAAGGTAAATCATTTGCAAATCAGCCATGGCTCTGCCTATGAAAGAATTCACTAGAAACTTAGGTTTTGAAATATTTGTGTAAGATGGGTACTGAAACAACTCACGTAAGAACATAAATATAAGTGTTTGGACATCTGTAAACAAAATTTGGGTCAATATTCAAAGGAAGGTTAAAGTTTATTTAAAAAAAAAAAAATATTACTGATGATGAGATATGCATTCATCACTATGAGCCTGAAATAAATGGTAGAGTATGGAATGAAAACATCCTCAATCGCTAACCAAGAGCAAGTTCAAAAGCCAACTATCAGCTGGAAAATCGATGCTTACAAATTTCTGGGTTTCTCAAGGGCCTGTATTAGAACACCACTAGCAAAAAGGTTCAACAACCAACAGTGCTTGTGACAGTGAGATGCTCATGAAGAGTTGAAGCCTTAATTTCAGATTAAATGCAGAGGACTGCTATCCAAGGGCCTTGTGATCTTGCATGACAATGCAGGTCCCCAGACCTCTGCCCACACCATTGATACTCTGTAAGGTCTTCATTTTGAGGTGTTAAAGCAGACTTCCTATAGTCCTAATGTTGCTCCATTCAACTTTCACCTAGTTGGTCCATAGAAAGCAGCCCTTCAAGGATGAGATTCAACTCTGATGAAGAAATGAGGACAGCGGTGCATTCATCGCACACAGCTCGTCCTAAAACATGTTTTAGTAATGAACAAAGTGTACTGAAAAGAAAGGAGATTATATTGAAAACTGATGTGTTTTTCATTTCTCATTTCTAAAATTTTATTAAAGTAAATTGTATGACCAAAGTGTGGATAATATTTTATTCACTCTCTTATATATGGAGTTCATATATAAAGAGTCCTGGTGTGGCAATGTAGCATAAGCACTGAACCACAAGGTCATTTGAACTGAAAAGTCTGTGGTCCCGCTTACCAGTTGCTCCTCAGAAACCCTGTACAGGGTGGCTATGGGCCAGGTCCAACTTAATGGCACTCAAACAACAACCTATATATATGTATATACATATATGTGTATAATTATTTGCTTAACAAATATCAGAATAATTATAAATATTTTTTCATTGTCTTACCTCTATCATCAAAATTCCTTGATTCTTTGGCTACCACTCCATCATTCTATATGGTGCAACAGTGAACAGAAAAATATTCATTAGTAATTACATTTCTGGTAGTGATTTTAGCTTCCATCAACCAATAACTGAAAAAAAAATTGGCTTTTTTTCTATCTAGAAATTAGTTCAAGAACAATATAAATCAACAACATACTATTAGAGAATTTACATCGATATCTCTAACTTAACTAGTTCTAAATGAAATGCAGTATTTATCAATGTATGAACTCGCTCCTACTCTAGGTTTTCATATTGCATTTAAAGACATAGTGATTCACTTAGTACTTGGTTCTTAGTCATTTAATTTGTTCCAGAAAAATCCAATCTAATCCAATCCAATCCAACTTCATCCAATGCTTACTGAGCACACTACTTAGAAACAAAATAAATTTCATCATTTTATTCTCTCATTAAATTGTAATAGCATTTCTCTTTGTGCATCCCACTAAACAATGAGCCCTCAATGGAATGATAGTCTAACTTTTGTATCCTATGTGACTCCATTCCCTCATGTCTGATTTAGCACAGGGTCTCGCCAACAGTATATGTACAATAAATATTAGCTATTACTGTCAGCATAATTGCTAAACATTCATGTGACTTGATTTCTGCTAAACTGCACAAAGCATTTGATATAAAAGCCAACTCAAAATCTTTTCTGCCAAGGTTAAGGACCAAGTCAGATGTATAGAAGCAAATCTTCAACCAATTAGTACCATTCTAGAGAATGAGACAATTAATAGAAGTAAAACATAATAAATATATGATCATTTTCTAAAACTTTGAAACACTATTTTATACCTTTTGTTCTATACCATAATCCTGTACTTCTAGCTGGTCAGTGACTGAAGTTGTTGATTTTTTGACAGCATTCTTTGTGCTACTAGGAGATTGGTAAATATTGTTTCTTGAATTTCCTAAAAGTAAATGAAAAAAAAATTCCACAATTTCAGCATCTTTATTAAAGTAAATATAATAGATTATTGTTCCTTTAAAGAGTTTTAATAAAATGTATTTCATGATTGAAAATAAAATTGATTACATTGTCTGACTAGATGTTTAATTCTTATAGGTAGAATCATAAGATATCTGTTATAGTAAGGGGAGGCAAAGGGCATATATAGTAGTAAGGTTACAGTCCACTTAAAAAAGTAAAATATTGATTCATAGTATATTTTGAAAAGTTGATTATATATAGTGCAATGTTAGAGAAACACAAAAAAAACCTATATAAAGAGATAAAGTACAAACTAGTTTTAAGTGAATACTATACATGTTAATACTGGGTAAATCAGAACAAAAATTAAAAAAAAAAAATGCCACATGCAATAGTACAACTCCAACCAACCTCAAAGGAAGTATGCATGTATAAATTTATCATAGCAAATATAATTCATGGGCTACAAACAACAAAAGAATTATTAAAGAAATTGAAGAACATCAAACAAATAAAAAGACATACTATGTTCATGGATTTTTAAGAGCCAACACAGTAAACATGTCTTTTCTCATTAAATTGATATATAAATTCAATACAATTGTATTAAAATACCACGACTTTAATTTTATGGATATGGAGAAGATGATTATAAAATGAATATTAATAGGCTAATGAATGAAAAGAACTATAACAATTTTGAAAGAGAAAAGTAAAGTTGACAGAATTGCAATGGCATGTTTTCAGTTTTCAAAAAAAATTATTATAATCACCATCACACTGAGTCAAAATTAAGTAGACAACACCTAACAACAACAGTCTAATCAAGACTGTAAGATACTGGAGTAGACACATACATTATTGGAGCAGAAAATGAAAAGAAAAATCACTCACTGGTAGAAATTATTTGTAAATCACATATCTGAAAAATATTTACATTCAGAATATATGTCTTAGTTACCTTTTTTGTAACTAACTTTTGTTGTTAGGTGTGGTTGAATAGATTCCAACTCATAGCAACCCTATATACAACAGAATGAAACACAGCTGGGTCCTGTACTATCCTCACAATTGTTACTTTTGAGCCTATTTTTGCTGGCAATGTGTCATTCCATCTTGCTGGGGTTTTCCTCTTTTTCACTGACCCTCCACTTTACTAAATGTGATATCCTTCTGTAGGAACTGGTCTCTCTTGATGACATATCTAAAGTAAGAGAGACAAAGTCTAACCACCCTCATTTCTAAGGAGCATCCTGATGTACTAATTCCAAGACAGATTTGTGATTCTGGCAGTCCATGGTAATATTATTTTAATATTCTTCTCCACATTAGAATTCATATGCATCAATTCTTCTACAATCTTACATATTCATTGTCCAACTTTCACATGGATATGAGGCAGTTGAAAATACTATGACTTCGGTCAGGTGCACCTTAGTCCTCAAACTGATATCTTTGCTCTTGAAACTTTAAAGAGATCTTTTGCAGCATATATGCCTAATGCACTATGTCATTTGATATTTTGACTGCTACTTTAGTATGTGTTGATTGTGGAGCAAAGGAAAATGAAGTCTGTAACAACTTCAATCTTACCTCATTTATCATGATGCTATTTATTAGTACAATTGTGAAGTTTTTTGTTCTCTTTACATTGAGCTGTAACCCATAGGCTGAGTTTTTGATGCTCATTAGTAAGTATTTCAAGTCTTCACTTCCCACAATCAAAGTTGTATCATCTGCATATTACAGGTTGTTAATGAGCCTTCCTCCTATCCTGATGTCACATTATTTTTCATATAATCCATTTTCTCAGCACGTTTTCTTATTTTAAAACATTTATTGTCTCCTTGTTCTTCCTCTTGAAATGTGTTCATGTTCCTCATGAACACACTTAGGAGTTTTGGCATACCTATTATTTGCAATGTTTATTATGATCCCACAGTAGAATGCCTTTGCATAATCAATAAAGCACAAGAAACATCTTTCTGGTATTCTCTCAAGATCCATTTGATGTCAGAAATTATATGTTTCATTCCACTTTGTCTTCTAAATTCAACTTCAATTTCTGAAACACTCCCATCAATGTACTCTTGCCACACTTTTTGAATTATCTTTAGCAAAATTTAACTTGCTTGATTCTACATTACCATTGATGACCTCTCTGGAATAGGTGCAAATATGGATCTTTTCCAAGACAGGAAGTTGTCTTCCAAATTTTTTGGTGTAGTCAAGTTACATGTCTCCAACACTACATCAGTTTGTTGGAACTTATCAATTTATATTTCCTCAATTCCTTGAGCCTTGTTTTTCACTAATGCCTTCAGTACAGCTTGGACCTCTTCCTTCAATACCATATTTCTTGATCATTTGCTACCTCTTGAAATGGTTGAATGTCAACTATTTCTTTTTAACAGTGACTCTTTGTATTCTTTCAATCTGCATTTGACGCGTCCTGCATCATTCAATATTTTAATCATAGAATCATTCAATAGCTCAAGTTTAGGGTTGCAATTTTTTTTTTAGTTCTTTCAGGTTCAGAAATGTTGAGTGTGTTCTTCCCTTTTAGTTTTCTAACTCTAGATCTTTTCAGATTGCTTGAGATGCCCTTTGAAATTTTCAGTTCAGTTCTTTTACTTCCTTATTATTCCATTAGTTTTAGCTTCTCTACACTCAATAGCAAGTTTCATAGTCTCTTCAGATATTCACTTTGGTCTTTTCTTTCTTTTCTGTTTTTTATTTACATTTTGCTTTTCTCCTTTATGATGTTCTTGATGCCATCTTACAATGCTTCTGGTCTTCGGTCTTTATTGTTCAATGCACCAAATATGTATTTAAAAAGGTCTCTAAATTCAGTTGCAATGTATTCAAGATCATATTTTAGCTCTTATGGATTTGTTTTCATTTTCTTCAGCTTTAGCCTGGACTTGCATATGAGCAATAGATGTTCTGTTCCACCATCTGTCCCTGGCTTAATGATATTGAACTTCTCCATTGTCTCTTCCCACAGATGTAATCAGTTTGATTTCTGTGTATTCTATCTGGTGATGTCTATGCATATAGTTGCCTCTTGTGTTGTTGAGAAAAGTTATTGGCAATTAATCATTTGTTGACTTTACAAAATTTTATCATGTGATCTCCACATCATTTCTATCACCAAGGCCATAGTTTTCAACTATGGCTCTTTCCTCTTTCCAACTGTCACATTCCAATCACCAGTGATTATAAATGCATCTTGATAGCATATTTGATCAATTTCAGATGGAAGAAGTTGTTAGAATTCTTCAGTTTCATCATCACTGGATTTAATGTTGGTGCATAAATTAGAGTAATAGTGATATTACTTGGTCTTCATTGTCAGCATAAGATTATTATCCTATCAGAGACATCATTGTATAGACATCATTGTACTTCAAGATATATTTTGAAATGTTCTTTTTGATGATGAATGCAATGTCATTCCTCTTCAACTTGTTGTTCTTGGCATAGTAAACCATATGATTGTGTGATTCAAAATGTCCAATCCAGTCCCATTTCTGTTCCTTAATGCCTAGGTTATTGATTTTTATGCATTACATTTCATTTTTTATGGCTTCCAATTTTTCTAGCTTCATACTTCATACATTCCATGTTCTAATTATTAATGGCTGTTTGCAGGTGTTTCTTCTCATTTTGAATTGTGCCCCATCATCAAATGAAGGTCCTAAATCTGCTCCATTCACATCATTATGTTTAACACTGCTTTGAGGAGGCAGCTCTTCTCTTGTCATATTTTGAGTACCTTCCAACATGAAGGGCTCATCTTCTGGCTCTATAGCTGAAAATGTTTTATTCTTCTGGCACTATATCTGACAGTGTTCCTCAGCTATTTATAAGGTCTATATTGGCTAACCATTCAGAAGTTGTCTGCCTCTCCTTCTTCCTAGTCTAGCTTAATCTGGAAGTTTCACTGAAATCTGTTGACCATGAGTGACCCTGCTGGCATTTAAAATACCATTGTCATAACTTCCAACTCTACAACAACATGCAACTTTTCCCCAAATAACTATTCAGTATTTATCTTAATATTTCATTACCATTTACTTCTGTAAATGCAGCAAAAAGTGACTTTCCATCATCATAACTCTTCTTTTTCTTTGGAGAAGAAGCTTAAAGAAATACAATAAATATTTATTTTTAATAATTGTGATGACAGAATTACCAATGATGGACTCTATTTAGTCTTCCATGCTAATCTATATGTGGAGTTGTGAGGAGAGGATGACCAGATGTGAAATGGAAGAAAGAAAACTTTAAAATCATACTTGAAGGGACAGAATTTTCTCCCCCTAAAAAGGAAAAGCTATATCCTACACAGATGCAACGTGACATTGCTTCTCTGTTGGGATATGTGTCAGAATGGTGATGGCTGCAAACTCATCAGCCCACACTGACTATGAGAATTCTTGGATTTGTTGATGGTCATGCAAAAACATATACAAAAAAATCCATACACATATCTCTCTTTTGAGATAGTGGTCATAATTTCAGTGGCAATTGTAGGCAAACAATCCTACTGCATGTGTGCAAAAGGAGTTTTCACTGGAGATATAGACTATGAGAGTGATCTGTTCCAATGCTGATCACTGCAGTTGGTTCATCTAATGCTCTTTCCCCACCACATCCACTGTCCCCTTTGGAATCTAACTGGTGAAAAATGGTAACATTACTTTAGTGGCATAATTTAGCTTCACTTGTGAAATAGAGCTACTTACTCTCGTTTACCATTATAACAGAAATAGAAATATTTTTATAGAATTTGAGGTGCAAATGCTTAAGATGTGTATTTGGAACTTTTTTTCCCACAATTAGATGTGAAAGTTAACACTGGAAAATTGAGGGATATACAGAATTGCTAAAATGATACTTTATCTGAGGCATGGTATTGCTATATCATTGCCTTAATGAAATGCAGAGACTAAATTAGTCAATTCAGTAAATATGCATTCAGCATATATATTGTGCTAATACTCTGTAAAACATAAAATTGTGAGTTCAGACTATTATGGGAGATTTAGACAGAGAAAATATTCAAACTGTATTAAGAATGATACAAAGTTCTATATGGATTCAAAGGCGTGAGCTCTTCCATTTGAGGTCATAAAAAGAAAACAAAGAATCCAAATTTTATGGAGTGTCAAAGGAGGTGGGGCTTAATAATTATAGGGTTTAATAGGGATGTATGTTGAGCAGGCTATTCTAGTCTGAGCAAAGGGCACAAAGTGAAGCACAAAAGCAGAAAAGAGAAATCAAGTTTTAGGTATGATCAGTAGTCTAATTTGACTGGACAATGAAATAAAATGAGTGCTTATTATATGCTACAGACTGGTGAGTTCCTTATAGAGATTATTTATAAATATAATCTTTGTTTTCAGATAATAAAACTGTGGCTCAGAGAGGATAAGAAATTTTCCTAAAGTCACAAAGCTAGTAAATGGTAAAGCAGGTCTTGAACTACAGAAAAGTGATTCCAAAGCCTTTCCACATCAACTCAAAACAACAAGTACAATCCTCAAGGATGTAATGTGAAAAAAAGTGAAAAAGCTAGATTGGAAGTAGTATGAGCTTCAGTTAATAGGTAGTTTAAACCTATTTAGTTCAGTTAAAAGGCATCTTTAAACCTAAGTAGTCTGAGCTTCTGTTAATAGGTATCAGTTAAAATTATCTTTAAACTTGTTGAGCAGGAGATGAAACTACCTCCTTCTAAGTGTCATTGGCAGCAATGTGAAAAATGGATTTGAGGTAAAAATAAATAATAATCAAGGAGGCTAATTAGGAATCTTCTAGAACGATCCAGAGAGGCTCTGGCTTCTGAAAGAATCACACTGTTAAGCTAGCTACATGGGAGATGATCACGTTCTTTCCTGATATACGTACTTACAGTTCAAATAAGTCTAAAATTTTTCATTCTGGCCATGAAAATGGCACTAATATCAGAGGGGTGGGGTTGTAATCCCACATCTTTCAATGTTATAAATAAAAGCAAGTGGGAAAGCATGGGTATAGCAAAGCCTGATCCTTCTTTTATACATCCTTTTTGTCTTTCTTTTTTCCTGCCTTTCCCTCATTCTCTAACTCCTCTATTCCTTCTCCTTATATTTATTTATTTATTTTGTCAATGTGAGCTATAATGGAAAAACTCATAGAACAAAGTCTGGCACAAAGCAGATAGTAAGTATTAAGCACATAGAGAAGTTTTATAAAAGCCACTAGCTTAAATACTTATGTAAGCATCTTCTACTTAGCTACATTGTCTTTCAATGTTCTTACATTCACAATATGTTCCTTCTTGTCCTTTGCATTCAAATGAATTTTTTTCCATTTCTTCACTATCTCCAATCTCTTGCATTTTTTGTAAATGATAGGCCATTTTTTTCTCTAGAAGGGCTTGCTTCTAAAATATTACAGAAAACAGAATGGCTATTACATCTATCCATTAAAAATGCAAACCATAATTAAAATATGACAGCATATTGGAAATGACAGTACATTGGAAATCACTTTTGCCTTGAGAAGTATAAGATAATACTAAGTACAAATTTGAGGTGGAATTTGTTGTTGTTAGGTGCTGTTGAGTCAGTTTCAGCCCAGAGTGACCCTGTATAGGGTTTCTAAGGAAGAGTTGGTGGATTTGAACCACTGCCCTTATGGTTAGCAGTCCAAATCTTTTCCTATAGCACTACATTAGGATTCCTGGTATAGAGGCTATTGTTGTTGTTAAGTGCCTTCGAGTCAGTTCTAAATCATACAGACCATGTATAGGTAGTCTAAGGAGCAGATAGAGAATCTGAACTACTGACCTTGCAGTTCAAAGTGACGGTGCTGTCCAATGCATTATCCTACAGCAACACACCAGGACAATGGTGTAGAAGTAGGAAGAGGTAAATTTCCATTTGTAGTCAAACATGAAAAGGACTATAACTAACACTTGTTGTTGGTAGACACCATCAAGTCAGGTATGACTCATAACAACCTTAATGAACAACAGAATGGAACACTGTCTGGTCCTGTGCCAACCTCACAATTATTGCTGTACTTAAGCCTATTGCTGCTGCCCATATAATTTATCTCACTTCACACCTTTGATAAATTGATTAATTTCAGATCAGATAATGTCCCTTGGAGTCCTGGTGTGGTGCCATAGGATTAGCACTTTACTACAAGGTCAATTTGAACCACAAGGTCAGTGGTTTAAACTCAGAAGTCATTCCTGGAAAACCCTATGCAAGGTCACTATGAGTTGGAACTGACTCATGGCAGTTAAAAACAACAACAAAATTTCTCTTAATTGATCGCTATCTTAATAAGTTCTGGTGTAGAGCTGTGGGTTAATATGATGGACTGCAAAGCTGGTTTGAATCACAAAGTTGGCTGTTCAAGCTTACCAACTACTCTTCAGAAGCCCTCTACAAGGTTACTATGAGTCGAAACTGACTTGATGGCACTTAACAACAACAACAAAATCTTAGTGACTTTAGGCGATTTCTCAGGAATATTCAATTTCAGGACTCCTGGGTGACTTAACCAAGTCAAGCAGGTCTACCATAGGTAAAACATAAAATTCATAAGTTGTAACTTCCTTTTGTATATATTTTTGCAAACTAGAAAGAATTACATGGAGAAAAATACTCAGAGATCCTCAGAAGAAACCATGGTGTATTTAATAGAGAATGGATCAAAAGACTAATAGTTATATATCCAAGACTACAAAAAGAAACATCCTAAAGGATTAAAAAGAACAGTGCTTGTCACCTACATGGGGCAAGAAATCATGCAGTTCATATCAGCTGCCATAGAAATGGAATACATAGAAATTAAATTGATTACATCTGTGGAAAGAGATGATGGAAAAGCTCCATATCATCAGTCAAAACAAGACCAGGGGCAGTCTGTGAAACAGACCATCAATTATTCATTTGCAAATTAAAACTGAAGCTGAAGAAAATGTAAACAAATCCATGAGAGCCAAAGTATGACCTTAAATATATCCCACCTGAATTTAGAGATCATCTGAAGAACAGATATGATACTTTAAACACTAAAGACCTAGGTCTGAAACGTTGTGGGATGACATCAAGAACATCATACATGAAGAAAGACAAGAAAGAAGGAAAAGATCAAAATGGATGTCAGAAGAGACACTGAAACATGAACTCCAGCATCGAGATGCTAAAGCAAATGGAAAAAAATGAGGAGGTACAAGACTAAACAGAAAATTTCAAAGAACAGCTCAAGAAGATAAAGCTAAATATTGCAACAAAATGTGCAAACATCTAGAGTCAGAAAACCAAAAAGAAAGAACACTCTCAGCATTTCTCAAGCTAGGGGAACTGAAGAAAAAATTCAAGCCTCGACTTTCGTTATTGAAAGATTCTCTCAGAAAATTAATGAAAGATGTAGAAAGTATCAAGGAAAGATGGAAGGAATACATAGTCACTGTACCAAAAATAAATGGTTAGTGTTCAACTGTTTCAAGAGGTAGTATATGACCAAGAGCCAATGATACTGAAGGAAGAAGTCCAAGGTGCATTGAAGGAATTGGCAAAGAACAAGGCACCAGGGATAGATGGAATAAAAATTGAACTCTTTCAAGAAAGTGAAGTGGCACAGGAGGCACTCAGTTATCTATTCCAAGAAATTTGGAAGAAAACTATCTGGCCAATTGATTGGAAGACATCTGCGAGTAAGGTTATACTAAAGGTAATACAGAATTGACTGCAAGCATACATTGACACAGAACTTTCAGAGGTTCAAACCGGATTCAGAAGAAGAGGCCATGGAAGGAGGGGTATCATTGCTGATGTCCAATGGACCATGGCTGAAAGCAGAGAATACCAGAGAGATATTTACCTGTGCTTTATTGACTATGCAAAGGCTTTTGATTGTGTAGATAATGAAAATCTATGGACAAAATTGCAAAGTATAAGTATTCTGGAACACTTCATTGTGTTCATGATGAAGCTGTACCTGGAACAAGAGGCAGTTGTTCGAACAGAACATGGGAACACTGAATGTTTTAAAATTAAGAAAGGTGTGCAACAAGGTTGCATTCTTTCACCATACTTATTCAACTTGTATGCTGAGAAAATAATC